TTTGATCCTGATTCAGAATAGCAATAGAGGTCATCGTCTCAAGTTTATCATATAATCAATATCATGATCGTTTTGACCCTAACTAACTGATAACTGTGTCGCCGTCAGTTTAGAATTTCTTAATTGATTACAGAATTTTGTTAACAATTGTCTCATGGCGTATTACATGGTGATAGTTATTAAGAAACGAAAATAACGTCATATATACAACATCATGTGCAATAGTTTCATCTTAAATCAAGTGAGATACCAGTCAGAGTTCGAAATCAAGGGCACGACATACTATCTCGTCTTAAACGCTTACCACTTACCTGAAAAAGGAACGAACAGCGATAGCGATTTTAATTTCAGTGTTGTGAAAATTCCATTTCTGACCGGTAGCCTCCCTGTTTTAAAACAAATCACGGTGTTCCAACATTCAAGTTTATCTTAACTGGAAACAATACACTCTATGATTATTCACAACTATCGATCTATTCTCTGCTTACAATATTAAACATTAATTAAATTTGTTATCCTGTCATCATCTCTATATTACCAATATATATATGTATGTATCTCTTTAATACGATTAGAAGAGATGAAAGCGTTTATGTTTTACATCATGTGCTTTCCAGTGTTTTTTTTTTTTTTTTTTTTTCTATGATTACTGGGCACGGAGAATTAACCACATTTCCAATATATATATATATATATATGAAGATGGCCACAAGGCCGGAAAACGTTAGCGATTTTATTTGCCATGTTAATGTTTTGATTTTATATATGTATATATATATTAATTGCTTGGCATCAAGAGATAAACACATCTCTTAACCCGATAACCATATAAACTCTTACTAGGAAACAAATGAGAAAGACAGTGATGATATAAGAATTTACCTTTTGGTCTTGACTGTGACTGAGATTTAATTTGGAAATATTTGAAACAGCAAGCCTGCAGGCATATACATCATTGCTGGGCCTTAAGATCCAGGTGAGTGATACAGGCCCGATGGGCCTCTTGCTCCAGATGAGCATACCTGTCCTATGGACACCTTGTTCAATGAAAAGGAAAGGATGAATAAGAGAAAATTTAATCTTTCGTATTGATGTACATAGCTTACTGAAAGTGTGTTTGAAATTAAAGTAAGATCGGAAATAAACTTTAGAAATGGGAGTAAACAGAGAATTCTCCATACATGTTAATGGGTTTTTTTCAATAAAATACAATATATGTATCCATCGACTTCCGTTATTGACGTAATTTTCTGACACAAGTAGCTATGCTAAATGAACATTTTCTTTACGGACAAGAGTTCTATAACGTAAAATCCCTTCAATCAAATTTCATACGTTATTTGAAATGTTTAGTGTAGACGAGTATAGATTTTCAAATAAAATTGATTAAATCTTTTTCCAAGAGCCACCTCATTTTTCATTTTATTTTTTGTTTGTTTTGTTTTTGTTTTTTTGTTTTTTGTTTTTGTTTTGTTTTTAGATTAACGTGGAGAACAGAATTAAGACATGGCAGAGGGAATCGAAGAAACACAATATAAGGTACCCTGCATGGCTCCCCTTCACAATGACATATGTACATCTATTTCCCTCCTAAAACGCCACAGAAGACAATGAAGTTTGTTAAGATGTCGGGAACATGTGTGTGTGCTACTAATGAACTTACAACAGTGTCTTTCGTAGTTTCAGCTCAGCACTAACTTAATTGCTTCAATAGACAATACAACTATAGGTCAGAGACATAAAATTTCGAAATTATCTGGAAACATGCACTGATAATATTTATGGCTCTAGTAACCCTGATTCCTCAACAGCCCATTTCATCAGCTAGAAACTTGGTAAATGAAATAAATGATGAAAGGGCTCAGTTATGTTCATCATATAGCAATAGGCCTCATTGAGAACAAAGTGCTAAACCTAGACAAGAAAGACCGAAAGGGTGTTTTTACATCAAAATAAAATTCCAAGTGAAAAATAGGTCCAAACTAATGCTTGATAAAGAGAATCTTTAAATCGGACATGCCAAATGAAGTCACAGAGAGATATAGGAGCATTGCTGGTTTCCCAAAATTGTAGCATGCAGTTGGATTCAAATTTTCAAGAGCAACACAAGTGTGCAGAAATTTGGAACGCATTTGCTTTTGGTTTCGGGATTAGATGAAAAGTCACACCAACCGACAATCTACAATGTACACCAGATCCATTCAATGTAATGTAATTCGAGCAACATAACTGCATGAATTAAACGTGACTAGTCCCGAGTCAGATGGATACACCAACCAGAGCAATCTTCAAGATGCATCATCTTTTTTTGTATTACATCATGATCAGTTGCAACCAGATGAACCCATGTCGGTGCCAAATCATCTCCGTTATCATTTGTGCCAAGTCTTTCTCAGTGGCAAATCCTCTTGACCAGTCGTCAACATTTACATCACTTCATCCTGATGAGAGTATCTCAGTGCAAAATCCTCCTGGTGATTCGTCGTCTTTGATGCCACAAGTGGTCAGCGATATAATAAACAGTATTTCAGAATTCTGCAAGAATGAAACCTTTTTGAACCTAGTAATATAAAACATTGCACTTAAGAAAACCATGTAGCTGGTACAGTTGCCTTCAACCTTCAGTCTTGCTTTTATGGCTACAACCAAGGTCAATGTCACTGTTGCCATTTATGGAATTTTGCTTTTTTTAAGTCTTGTCATCACTCTCTAAATTTCTATAAGGATTTTATATCATCAAGGGTCATTGTCGAAAATGAATTGAACCCATCATTGTATATCAACTTTCAACATTTTCGACCGACTTAGAAAAGGCCGATTCTAATTAAGCTTAGCAGCAATGATCCCTACAAGGCAGGGATCAGATTTATACCCCAATAAGTAATTCACTCCTCTGAGTCCTTCAGGACGCCACCGAAAGGGTTGCAAAATTACATTTCCAGATCCTACGAAGAAAGATTTGTCTGGATATAGGACAAATATTGAAACATAATTTCTAACTGTTAGGATCAGCAATTCATTTCCATTGGCCTTTAATGGTCAAATGTCCCTTAGGTTCCGTGGCTTTTGTAAGTATGATTTCAACTTTCAAAACAAATGAAATTTCTTAATAACCATTTAATGTAAGGGTAAAGACAAAAGTCCAGCACGTTTGGTCAGTGAAATTTAATAACATACAAGCAACGTATTCACTTCCAGGCCATTTTAGTGATTAACTTATTATGCACAATCTCTGAATGCCCTTGATTTTGGTGGGCTACAGAAATGCTTTTTCAGATTGTATTGAGAAAAATGAAAAAAATACTTTGATAAAGTCTTTGCCATTTTCAGTGGGAAGAGATTTAGGAAGTTCTTTTGAATATATAGACACAACATGTTTTCCCTTCATCAACTACATTAGCCATAATTTTACATGTGAACATAATACCTACACTCCAATCTAATAAAACTGATGCAAATTATTACCAAAAGAAATATTAATACGGACGTGCCTGATAAAATGTACAAGGAGAATGAGATCAGTTGTTCCGAAAGCGTAAGCATCTTCTGCTTCATCGACGACGTCCGCCATGTAAATCTTGGTCAATTCAAGTGAGTAATTTCATGTTCTTAAAATGAGAACATGACAAAAAAACTGAACAAACAGGCTATAAGATATCAGAATGCGATGATAAACTAACACCAAGTGAGGAATATATAAATTGCCTAGCGACACGTTGTGTTCCACTTCACACATATAGCTTACAATATTGATGCTTGTAAAAAAGCTTGAGAAATTATAGAATAAATGATAAGTGTACACTGGCGACGAGGAAGTACCTGTCAGCAAAAATAACTTGCGTACTATTTAAACATGACAATTCTCAAAAAAAAAACTTCCGCGCGGAAGAAATTACGAGTTCTCATTAATGTATCGTGCGTTTGTTTAACAGGGAAGAAAACTTGAAAGCTATTAAATGAATTGCTTATCTTAACTCTACATCGCAAGGACTAAATATATTATAAAATCTCTACAGGATAGCATACACTGAATGCTTTATGCTTTATGCTAAATGACAATTAGTATGGAATCTTTGTCAACTGATAAGTATCGTACACATTTCATCTAGTTTTATCACTTTAACGATTTTAGTTAGATTGAGGAATGTGGTTTATTTAAGCAGGAACTATTTGTTGCTTTGTTGGTTTCACATACTTGACAATGATTGTGCAAGGTAACTTTGCTCTAAAAAGAAGACGAAATAAAAGCGAATATAGTCCATGAGGAAAATATTATTTCCTTTTCCACATTCATGTAACATTTTAGCCCACACCTACAGGTTGGATTATCATTCCAGGGGCTAAATCCTTCGGTAAATATTGCAGCAAACTACTGGTAAGATGTTTTCATGTTCTCTTGTCTGAATCAAAATACATTTTCACATTTTATAAACAATTTTTTTTAAATATTTGATTTTTATTCCAACTGCATGAATTCTTTAACAGTTATATACTCAGGAATGGCATATTTTATATAAACACTGAATCATTTCACAACTATCTAAAAAAAGGTGTACAACATATGTGGTTTTATGATTAAACTGGTTTGTAAATCATAACAATTATGCCTGAATACCACCACATTTCGCAAGAGAATTGAGGAAAACATATTCCGATTTATCATTGTAGCTGATATGGAAACGCTGAACATAAAAATAGTGACATAAGGAATTCTCTCTAATCCAATATAAGATTCATCAATTATGATTTGAAAATAAATTCAACCTTGATCTTTTATTAAAATTATTGTTTTAAAATCGTGTTACCGTCATTGTTTTACTGGAACATACAATTGTCTATCTGTTTGTGAATCTTGGTAGATAACATAAAAAGCACATGCATCACCTTGATAACTGATGAAAATTGTTGTGACAATTACGAGGTTTTATTACGTATGCAGTTTAAATTAATGTTGATATATCTGTCTTTGTAGATATTTGATGACAGAGAAACACTTCACGATGAAGAGAGCAATCTTGGTGCTTTTTCGAGCTTTTTTCGTAATACCGTTTACAGCCGGAACCAGACGAAGAAGTTCCGGTTCATTCCGGCTCTATGATTGCAGTACGTCATCAACAGTCATGTTTCTTTTACTTCTTGCGTCTATAATCGTCTTCACCGGAAGTCTTTCAATCGCAAATGGAGCCGTGCAACGTATACTTGTGATTAAAGTTATTCTTACTTTCCTTGACGTGGCTGGTATAATAACTTGTACATTGACTGGCTGTCTCATTTACAAACATGGCGTACCATACACTGACTTGTCGATATCGAACGGAAGTAGAAAATCAAAGTATCTACAACTAGGATTCCTGTGGTTGTTTGCGGTATTGTCAGTTGTACTTTTTAGCTTTAAAACCGCTGTTGAGATAGATTGCTGGAATTCGTTTTCATGGATACAAACAATCGATTCAAGCTTCCGCATTATGATAATACTTTGTTATACTACAATATTACATTACATGTCAAGACACAGATTTAAAAAGGTACCATTATTGAACTATGCTGTACGAGTTCTGATATGTATTTACATTTGTTTTTGGATTAACTCATTTATCCGGAGCAAAACATTTATAAACCCAAATAGTCTGGTGACACACAATCATACCATTTCCGACTGGCTACAATGTGCTTTGAATTCGACATCCGGATTAATTTATTACAATTCTAAGAAGTATGTATTTCCCGCGTATGCAGAGTTTCTAATATTAAGTGTTACCCTACTGAATGAGTTCAGTTCTATGATTTCTTCAAATGTTGAAAAAGACAAAGAAAATGGTGAGAACAATGACAACAACGACAGCACTGAGAATAACGGCATTGAAGAGAGGAAACCCTTATTATCTGTATCATATCAGATCGATGGCCATAGTGTGTCGTCATCAACACAATACAGTATAACTATGATTGTCGCTTTGGCGCTCGCATTACTCAACCTGGTCTTCCATATTCTGCACGCATTGTATCCAATAGACACCATGGCTATACCTATGGTATTGTGTACTTGTGCTGTCAAATCGATCATGGTTTTTGCGACGATTTTTGCCTTTTACAGTACAGAAACCATTATGAAGTTTCCAACTGCAAGTGCTTTGACCTATAGTACTAGGGAAAAGATATTCCTTGCATCAGTACTGGCTATCTACAGTAAGTATTGTTTTGCAGTGATGGCAGGTTGTCTATCTTATGACGAAACATGGAAGTCAGTCGTTGCCAAAAATTGCATCAATCTCATTCAAACATACTATCAAAGTGTATTTCTCCTTCATGTTCCAAGATGTGTTCAGAATGCAAACTATAACAAATGTGTTGGTTTTGTTTGTATATGTGTGTTTCTTGGTATTACAAACTTCAGCTATTGGGTAATAGATAGCTTTATCATAGATCAAGCATTCTCAACATTTCAAAATATACATTTCAATGTCCTAAAAACAACTGTATGGCATCTTCTGCACGACATATTTGGACCATTGACATTATATTACAACTTTTCATCAGCTTTTGCTTTCCATTCACTTTACATGCGATTTAGTCCAAAGTAACCTCGACACCACCCTAAATGGTGTGTGTATGTATATGGGGTTGCTTCCTTGACTACTCAAGCTGACATGAACATAGTAAGTGAATAACTACCTGTATAATGTAGCATGCAATGTCATTTCAATAAATAATTTCATTCAGTTTTTATATTTATTTGGGATTATGATTTCAAATTACGTGCATATTCCCTCTGAACATTTTCAGGAGTCTCCGTGTAAATACTTTGTCCTCGTTTTATTGAAGAACAGACTGGATTATCGATTTTGTTGACATACTGGTGTTTTCTTTTTCTATTTTAACAACATTGCATACATAATAATGTATCATAGAAGTTGGTACACTGCTGTGTGCTATATAGCTTATAGAGGGAAACAAGTGAACACATTTCACATGAAGTAAATATATCTGCAGGTTTCAGAGTTTCCCTATTTTTCATTTGATTCTAAAACTCTTATTGAAATGTGATAGCGGAATATGATATTAAGTAATCTCATTCACATTCAAATTATATCAATTGAAGTTTAAAATAATCAGAAAGATTTCGGGTAATGTAAGTGTCATTTTTGTTGTTTAACGAAATTCCATACCTACTTATTGGCTCTCAGGCAACATAGTATATCTTAATATTGTAAACTTTCTGCTTGTTAATACGACAATGATATCGTATAAATAAAATCTTAAAGAGCGTCAACATGTAATACCTAAAACAGTTTAACGAAAATCAGTGATTATTATAAAATGTCGATCCTGTACCTTTTAAATCAAACGATATTATTGAATATATTTGCTGTATTACTCTTATGTTTATAGCCTTTTATTTTCTATTTCTGAATCATATCGAGTACACAATGATATGAATATGATAATATATTTATATCAAAAGAAGGGAAATCCATAGCATTGAATATCATCTTAATTACAAATGACATTGAAAGCATCATATGTGTTGCATAATTCTCTGTGGATATACTAGGTTGGTACAAAAATATTAGGATGAATTTATTCAAAATCAAATGTTACTGAAATACGTATGTTGAATGTGATTCGAGCTCATTTGTTAATAACAAATATTCACTTTTGGAAGAAATGTTACCCCAGATTTACCCCCAATGAAAACGATCCAAGTTGCTATGACAAAAACTGAGAAAATTCAGACATTCACATGTTTATATTTCTTTTATTAATTTTAGCAAAATATCACAGGAAGTAGAATATCACAGACGTGTGTATTTTTATTCATACACGAAAACTGCGTTTTAACAGGCGAGGAAAAAAAGCAACTTGAATATTCAATTCATAGTGATATGCATAATTTTTGTTCAATCACATTAAACAGCTTGTAAAGCATGACTTGTAAAAACACTTTATAAGCAATGCAGCTCATATAAAACATCGGTTACTGATGCAGATGCAAAGAATGAATTCTCTCTCTCTCTCTCTCTCTCTCTCTCTCTCTCGCTCTCTCTCTCTCTCTCTCTCTCTCTCTCTCTCTCTCTCTCTCTCTCTCTCTCTCTCTCTCTCTCTCTCTCTCTCTCTCTCTCTCTCTCTCTCTCTCTCTCTCTCTCTCTCTCTCTCTCTCTCTCTCTCTCTCTGTCTCTGTCTCTGTCTCTCTCTCGCTCTCTGTGTTATTTTATAGTGGTATGAATTTGTTAAAAAAATATTACCCACAAATGAAAAGTCAAATATAATCATAATCCTTCATTGCTTTCTAAATTTGCTCTTCATATCGTTCGTAAATTAATCATGCAAGACATTATTTGGTTCTTTTGTGTGATTTAAGAAAAACTGTCATGATAGATAATGACGAAATCATTGTGTACAAAATTCTCTATTAAAACACATCTTGATGTAGGCAACACCTCAATGGAAATCATTTCAAATCATTTACAATGTCAATCAATATTAATCCAACGACATTTGTCAAGTTATTTCGTATATAAAATAATCAGAGGGTGCAAAACGATCCTTCGTTAAAAATCATATCTATTTGATCATTCGGTGCAGGAATTCTTTTCAGCCTTTAATAAATAAAAATTAGTTATTTTCCTTCTGTTTGCAAATTTAATTGATATAATATATTTAAAACTTTTTTTAATGTAAATTGCTTCTTTTTAACATTTTATTCTAGCGAGGCGCCTTTGGTGGTTATAAGCTAGATCTTGGCGTGGAAAATCAGTAAACAACGTAGTTTAAGAAGGTAACAGAACCTTGAAGTAAATCATCTACTGTCCTCCGAAAGAAAAATATTGTTCTGTGAGTTTGATTATGTAACAAAACTTCATATGTTTTCATATGCTGCACAAGTCTATAAGCCTCCTCCTGATATATTTCAATCTTCAGAATGACGCCCGGAGATTTTTGGCAATGCTTTTAAGACACTGATATTGTTCTGTGCCATTCATGTCTCGAGAAGATGCTGTTTTCCATACTGCTACATGTAGAGAATTATCCTCCTTCAACAACAGAAAACATAACGGTTACCATTAGTAACACACGTCACAAAACCGCAGTGATATCTACATGCATCATAATTTACAAAGTCACAACTATATTTTAAATACAAATACATGATACAAATCAAGACAATCATCACAATTTGGTTATTCTGAATAATAACAAAATAACAAAAAATATTTTCAGCACATTATAATTTTGATATTAATATTACAAAACCTGTATTGTATTGAAAAATGTATAACTTTCGTCCAAAAATTTAACTGAGGAGTTTACGATATCAATACAGAAAGTTGTGAGATTAATCAGCCATCAGAAATGCTTCTTGTACATCTATAATAGAATATACACAATGGATATATAATTAGTAAAGCAACATTTAGCATGAATAGTCGCTCAACACAGTTCAAGCTCTGGATCTTCATTGACTTTGTAAGTACACAGTGGTGGTGAAATGGGCTTTCAAGTGATGCTAGGTTATGATCTGGAGTGGCAGTGGTGATAAGTGGTTAATTGGTCAATAATACTATTCAACTCATACTGATGATACGTTCATTAAACGTCAACTATGTTTCATTAAACAGATTCAATCCAATTCTCACCCTGAAGATGAAGTTGTTGAGGTAGGAATACTGTTGTAAGCTTTGGTTTTCATCCATGTACGTTTTAATTGTCACTTCAACCCAGGCATTGTCAGTGTTCAGTGGGCTGTCTACATACCCTAGGTACACCTTTAACAGAGAATAAAATAGATACATAAACCATGTTTAGTTATATAGTTATATACTGTCTGATATGCTATTTCCTTGGTTTATCTTCATTTTTTTATTTAATAGATAATGTCTGTTGATTGATTAAATACTAATTGGTTGTAAACTTTTCATTCTGTTATAATTTTCAAATATTTTGTTATTTTATATTCTTTAAGAAATTTGCTTCGAAGCGATTCAATTGCAAACGATAATACTTTCAGTGCAAATTGTCATTTAGAAATATTTACGAATTTAATAATCCGGTTAGGAATATAATTCTTCTAGACTGGAAGTACAATTTCAATTACAACTAGTTCTATCGACAAAAAAATGTCAATTTGGATTGGACGTAAGGCATTGTCTTTCTTGATTCTCTCCTTTTAGTGCAAACAGGTGGCGCAATAAAAGGAAAGTAAGAAAGGGACATATAACATATATACATAAGTGTGCTCTAGTTAACGGGAAGTAACTTCTTGGTGTTTATAGATTACGTCAATTACATCAAATTAAATATTATCCCTTTTACTAGGGATATTTATTTTCATCAATTTGTTAAGACCATTACATGATTCATGTTAGATATACAATTAAACACGAATAAGTCGAAGTCGACAGGACCAAATGAACTCTTCGACTTATCCGGTGGTTCGACCTTGCCATGTTCTGTGAACGGAGACATCATGCAATGAAGATTGACCCAATTTCCATAGGTTGTTTACTGGAAACCTGACTCATAACATGGCATGACAGAAATAAATAATTAAAAACATAAATAAAAATATTATATATTAACGACATATTTTATTAAATAATCACTTAAATGTACGAATATAGAACACAAAATGTACGAAAGTCTGATATCTTGGATTGTTGTCTCACAAGTTCCTTTAATAGGTTGGTTGATATCTTGCTGAAGATATAGGTCATCATAGTCAACAATTCACCAGATTTCTCGGAGTTCACCAAACGTCATAACGGACGGCAGTAGATGATGTGTTAGGTTTCGGTGGTGGGGCGGGCTCGTCGTGATCATCACTGTCGATGGGCTGTATCTTTGCAAATAATTTCGTCGTCAGTGATTGGTTCACTGGTTGGTGCGACGGCGTCAACGGAAACAAGTCAACCGAGGGCAATGCCATCTCCATCATCTTCGTTGTCATCCTCTGTTTTTGGTAATGGTGATGGTGTTGGTAGTGGTGGTGGTAGTGAAACCTTCGTGGCGAAAACAGTTCTAAATGTTCTTTTCTGCGACCTGTCTTCTGCATAAGTCGAGGGCGCCGAGAACATTGATCTCTGGTGTTGTATTCTCGATGTACTTGCCAAGGATTCGCTCTCTGTAATGTACCTTGAGGTTCTGAATTATCCCCTGACCCATCGGCCGGTTATTGCCGGTCGTATTGGTGGAAGGGAGGAAGGAAAATGAACTGTAGAGCTGCCAAGGAGGTAATCAAGGTGGGCAGGGCAATTGTCGATGATCATTGCGATCTTCCGGTGCTGTCGGTAGAATTCCCGGTCCAAGTCAGATAGCCAATTCTTAAATATAATCAACAAAAGAAAGAAGCGCACAAAGTTTCCATTGCTGTACACCTTAGCTGTAAGGAAATAATGGAATATTTGGTCAGGTATTACATAAAGAATGCTCTCCCTTCTCGACAATCTACCTTAAAATCAGCCAAGCATAACGATGTCATTGTCTGACTCATTTTGTTTTTCGCGTGTATCCCATTTTGAGTAACTACTGATGACACGAGTGATGTCACACAGACTTTTCTCGTACAGTATTGTAAAGAGAAGACCGGTCCCTTCACATTGATACAAAATTTTGTACAAATTTCCCAAAATATTATAGGCTATAGATTGCTTTTAAACTGTGCGTTTCTTTTGTGTTGAGTAAAGTTTTGCAGTCATCCAAGCCTTCTTGAGAGCTGCCGAGTCTTGACGTTCTTGAAGCATTCTGAAAACGATCAAAGGTAATCTATACGTTCCGTCCATGTTGGCGCGCGCTTAAACTGTTAGGTAGTCTTTCCTCTTCTTCCCACCTTTGCAGTCTGAGCCTTTGAAATGTAACGCCTTATTCGGTTACATCTTGAATAAGATTGCGGTCTTGTCTGCGTTGAAGATGTCGGCAGGTTCATATTTGTTGAGAACGCTGAATAGTTTCGGCACAATCAGTGTCAGCTAAGTTAGCTTCGCCACATATCGTCCGGAAAAGATATTTGGTGTCTAGATGTGAATCGGTCTAATTGAGTTTGCCTTGAAGCTGGTTTTGATCTTCTCAGCATTTCTTAGCCAAGCCAACAGCGTATTTGGTGGAATTTTAAACTGTCTGGCTGTGTCGGTTTTATGTCAGCCTCCTCTCTCAACGGCGAATATTGCGTCGTATTTTGCCTACATGTCTTTAACATCGGGCTTCATCTTCTGTCCTATTCTTTCTTCTATATTCCTATGAAATGCTCCAGTTATCAGCCAGGTGACCCGAATCCTTCATCAGATTGTTCATTTAACTCATTAGTGTGAGTTAGAAATCAAAGACAAATCCAAATTTAGCATCTTAATTTATAGCACCCGTTGGACAAGTTCACTCTAATTTGGACAATTTTACTTAAGTAAAACAATGCCTCACCTGAAGGATTTCTCAATTTATTTATGTGAACAGCGATTCACTTTAATTAACAAACGTGTCTCTCCTTCAACGTCATATCTAATAAGTCAAGAGTCTAATTATCTCATTACCAAGGTGAAGTCGTTTTAATTTTTAAATTCCAGATCGACAATAATATCGCTCCAGCAAAGGGATACTTTAAGTCAATAGTCCTGATATGTGGCAAGAAAAGTGTTACAAAGTCTCGCTAGTGTCGGCGATAACTCGCTACTGACATGAGGTTTAGCAAAGAAAAAACAAAAATACAGTTTGTATATGTACATATATATCCAGTAAATGTATCTGATCATAAATGAATGTCTCAATGATGAACTAGTATTGGTATCTTTCTGCATCGGCGCGATATTGCTTATCATTTCCCTCTGGTTTACGGTAGTGTATTTTAAGTTTGGTTGCCTAAAGAGAAGAGAAAAAAATCAGGACCGAACAAACCTCATCCGATGTATTCGGTTTAAGCGTGTTCGACACAAATGAGTTTTGATGTAGTACAACGTACATATTTTAAATCTGATATAAATACTTCGTTATGTCGAATTATTCCCCCAGTAAATACAGGCCATAGCGTCCATACACATTACAGCAACATGAATGAAAAATCAAAATAAAAAATAGAAATAAGTACCTTAAGCATTTATCCTTTTAAACACGAACGTTCTTGTTATCAGTATGACACTTACCTCCTGACTTTTCTGAAATATTGAATCTAAAATATCCGTTGGCTTCACTGACACGTTCGGAATGAACTCTTTTACTGCCGAAGAGTCTATTGTTTCAGTGGTATGCTCCTGTGTAAAACATTATTGAAAAACATTTGAATTATGATATGTTCTTTGCAGGAAATCTGTATGGCATGTCTTCGTAAAGGTTCAATTCGTCAACTGAATATCTTACACCTTTCTTTTGGCAAATTCTAACTCTTTAACTTTGAAATTCCTTACGAGAAGCTATGGTAAAATATATTTGAAAGACTGAACGTGTTTTAAGTCTGATCGCTGGAATATTTCTTTTCAGATAGAACTTGATTATGACAATTAAAATATATGGATATAAAAACAGTTCCAAGTCATTAATTATGTCAAATACACAATTTAAACGTCGTTTACTGAAATGAAAAATTTGAAATATGCACCAAATTTGGGTTGAATGCATATTGTAACTCAAACTAAATTATGCATTCAACCCAAGCTAGTAGATAATGATACATTTCAACACAGTGATAATTCCTACCTTCACTGGCGACAAATATATATAATTCCATACATAATCGAAAAATATATTCTGATCCATGTTACCTAGTTGACGTTAAAACCATACAGGAACATACAGTTAGTAAGACAGATGTATTCAAACTTTACACTAAACTTTCATCCGTTTATCAAAAACTTTGGGCTAACATTTTAAAAGATACTTACCGGGTAAATAGTCCAATGACCGTCTAATGCTCGTTTCCAGGAAAGAAACTGAAAAAGACGTTTTCCTTTTCGTAGCATTTGTTTCCCAGCCGCGTCGGCTGCCCACCTATAAGGAAGGGATTATTTTTATTCATTGATAAGAAACCTTGATATACATTCCAAATCATTTTTATATTTCAAATAAAGTATAAGATAAAGCAATAACTTTGCACATCACCTCTGAACTCTCATCCTCGATACTCCAGGGGTTGTGATCGCTTTTGCTCCGTGCACCCTAGAGCATTTTGATACAAAGTTGACGGTTCCATGTACGAAACCTTGTTGATAAGACAAGAAGAACAGTTTGATATTTTGATGTACATTTAACGAATCTTCTCGAGGTCGCATAACGATATGTTATGCTGATTTGAAGTTGGGTGTCGCTCCATTATAATCATCAATGCAGCGTATCAGCCATTGATCAATTTGTTTTCTCCTGCAACTTAGCATCGTTTCTGACCAATAGAAAATAAGGTAACTGCAACTGCAAGACATATCAATATCAACATACCTTGTAATTATTAATCTTTTCTCGTGGTTTGGTCCCCAAACAGCAAGACAACCACGCCCTATTACTCCAGTCCTTCCGATGGGATTTCGTGGAATACGGCCAACAACTTTATATTTCCCAAGAACACTCCGCCTGTCCACGGTGTATTCCTGGTCGTATTCGTTAAATGATAATGATTTACTCGATTGTAGAAGCATCGACCTGATCAAAATATTGAAAAATAAGCCTATATCAACGAAACATTGCGAAGTGTTTATTCAAATCAAAACAAAGAATGAGTTTTAAAAGGCAAAACAATTTTGTACAATGTACATGTACCTATTTCTAGCGTAAAATCCCACTACTGCATCCAATTGCAACGTAGAATCCCAACGCTGCAACTAGTTCTTATTATGAAAAGAATACCAGAACAGCGTGGCAAGTGGCCCATTTTCACGTCCGTGTCATTAGTATCATTATTCCATATTCAAACAGAAAGTTTAATCCTGATTACCAGGGGGAAAATAAATGCTTACCACCTCAGCAATCAACCGCCCATGTCTTATTTTATATACAATTGTAGCGATAATGTATTTCATTAGATCAAAGCTATTGTCATTGCAGCGTATGTTGACAATAACAGGTCTACTAGAAGTTATATTCATCAATGTTACCTGCTAGGTTCTGCTTTCTTCATGTCTGTCTCAGCGACAGACGTTTCTGGGTTATTCTTATCGATAACTTTCGGATTGTAATCCTGGTATTTTGTCTGAAACATGACCAGACGAATACGTAAAACCATTGCTAAGTGAAACACTTACATATTGTTAATAAACGAATGATATGAAGTATGCCACTGAAAAAAAAATTATTTTGATCATAAACATACAATATTTAATCAGATCTCGCCATCAACCATGTAATCGGTTTTTGATGATATGCTCGTACAAAATGCAGTAGAGCATCATTATCACTATGAGGAAAGTAATGCCATTCTATATGTTGTACTAACTGCATTACAATTCACAACACGAATCAATTATGTGATCATACCTTCCATGATACGAGATTATCGGGTACTGGGAAACGGGCAACGGCAGTTGAAGGATACACACAAACACGTGATAGGAAATGTAGCTTGGATTTTTTCACTTTTATAAAATCTTCTGTCTTTGTTTCTGTAAGAAAAACATTTTCTGTTTGTATGATTCCAGACAATAAAATGTTATATTATAATCACATAAGACATTATTGTCACCAATTTTACAAACCCTTTATTAGGTCAGAACAAAGCAAAGTACTGTAATGTGTCAAAACTGAACTTGATCACTGTTGATCTCTGAAGTGAATCATATGTTCACGCAACAAATCTAATTTGATTTTAAAATTTCCTACATAGCTGTTTTGTTGATTTCAACTGGAAGGACATATAAATATAAGTAATTTCATTATGTTCTGTATGCTTGGACTGGTCGTTGATGCCTAAATTGTGAAGTATAGGAGGCGACCGCAGTACACACAAAGTAATACAAAAAATGTCGATATGTTGATGGAGAGGTGCACTGGCTCCTTAATTCGATTAATTTAGTAAATTTCATATATCTGCTAATTCTATTACAATTTTAAGTAAATAACATTTTTTGTATTGCACTCATAACACTATAACTGCAGTCATGGATTATTTGTATTTGTGCACGAAACAATTTCAGGGGGACACAAGTTCAGCTCGACGTACTGGTCATAGCTTACATTAAAACAGATCCATTTCAATCAATGATACTCACCAAAATTACCTTTAGTAGCTATAGACTTTATTTAGTTTCTTTTTCAAGCCGTTCAGATTACTCTAAATGGAATAGTTTTTTCAACAAATTCGGAGATCTCGAATTGATGTTACCTTCATTCGTAGTTTTCGTCATCTGGTTTGTACACATTTCCTCTTGTTTGGCAAGTAATGCATCTAACCTGAATAAAAGAAAATGCTGAAATTAATACAAACAGATTGCATATAGATTTTCCGGTAAAACTGTGTTGGAGAATGAGGTATCATTGATTTCAGATACTTGATATCTTTATGATTTTGAAGTATGTATCATAGTTAGTATCAATATACTTATTCATACTTGATATCTATTTTAGTGTCATGGTTTGACGTATTTTCTTCAGCAGCAGTTTTCTTCCTAGTCTTATCACTTCCGGTGTCTGTCGTAGTGTGTGAGACTCGATAGAGATACTCATCGGCTACTATCTTCTCCCACTGTGTCAATGACGCCTCCTTATCACAGACGTCACCTGTTGCCCAGAGAGAGTCTTACAAACATTTAATACGATCACGTGTCTTGGGAAGAATGATGTAATGTTATTGAAACTATGCTTCATTGCAAACCATTGATGCATTTAGATAGTTCAATTTGAAAGTAATGTCAGGTGCTTCGCGTCAAACATATATTCTAGGAGAAAAAACATTATCAAGTAAAACATTTACATTTGGGAAACAATTAAATTAGCATTCATCATAGAAGTAAACCAAACGACGCCGTTAATAGATTGACGTTATGCAAATGTCACGATGTCTGAAACACTTTGAAATCCAACACGAATTAATCATCCTTGTTGTGAAATGAGTTACAATTTATACTTTGTCAATGATAAATTACAGATTGATTGACAAGCTGTCGATATATATATATTTCTGATAAGGTAAATATCACGTCGATATATATACTCAAGCGATGAAAAAACGCAGAGAGCAACATTATTTGCAATATCTTGCGGATGCGTTGTTCAAAAACATTGAAAATCTGTTGCATTATTGCATTGCGTGACGATGTCTTCCAGGAAAGCACGAGACGGGAAAATCTCGTACACAGCAGTGTTGTGCCATTGAGTTACACTGCTCGTCATACCATAAGGTAGTCTTCATAGAGACACATCATTTTCGGATATTTTGATTTATTTCTGATAGCATTAAACTATGGCACTGCTGACGGAAGTTCAGAGGGGTCAGGCCATTGAGATGATTATGTTAGGTTAAAGGGAAATACAGGTTGCCAGACATTTCGGTGTCCATATATGCACTACAGAACATCTTATTAGATGTCTAAGGGAAACTTGGCGGGTTGCTGACAGACCAAGGACTGGGCGACCGTGTTTGACGTCACAACGTCATGACAGGTTTATTCGTCTCGCGCATTTGCGTAATCGGCACCTTTCTGCCACTGATTCGATTGAAGAAACTATTGCGAGAAGTTGTCTGTGGGTGCGTCACCTGTTTGTAGGTCTGTCCCTTACCGCTGCTTGTCGTCAGCGTCGTATGGCTTAGGTGGCAGCACATGCCCCCAGAATATTCCAATAGATGCAAAGGAAGAGGGTCTTGTTTACAGGTGAGACCAGGTTATCCTCTTTATTAAATCTCCACTGGTTGTTGTAGCGTTAAAATTAACTGCCGCTAGGTATAGAGGTGAGATCTTCCGACCCCATGTTATCCCATTATTGCAGCAAAATAACCTCACGTTCCAGCAAGAACGTGCTCGGCCCCATGTAGCGAGGATCTGTCGCGACTTTCTAACTAACCGCCATACAGCCCCGACTTTTCCTCTATTGAGCAATTGTGGGACCAGCCTCCCCCTGTAACTCTGGCCAAAAACAAAGATGCCCTCTTGGAAGAATGGGCCATCATCCTACTGAGGATGATTAACTCACTCATGAACTCCATGCCAAGGAGAATCAGGGAGCGAATGGAGGACATACCCTGTATTGACTAGCCAGCTCCAACAATCAGTCAATTTCGATTTCAGATTACAGAGTTCTCTTTCAATTCTCTCCAATCACTCCTAAATCACTTACCACATACAAATCGTTGTTTTTTACAGTTTATTGTTTATGGATTACTCTTCATTCTTAATATTGAACATTATTCTCGACGTCTTTGCTAGAATCATCTTCAAATGTTATCCTGCGTTTCTTTATCCCTTGAGTATAGTTCTGACTATATTAAATCAAGACACTGATAAAGGTTGCCTTCATGTTTTGATATGTACTGTATGTATATAAAACGTTACAAAATGTCGCCATGGAAACTTTTAGCTCATAGGTTCTGACAATTTCCAAAGCCTTACTGAACATGATTGCTGAACAAAACTTGTCAGAACATAATAAGTTTGGTAGTTTCTGACAAGTTTCCGACACTCCCAAATAAAATCTCATATCTTATACGAAAAAATGTATACAACATGTATATCACATTGCTCTTATATGCACAATAGGAACATTGTCGAACTAGGCTTTGTTTTACAAACATAAAAATTCTTACCAAATATAGTGGTGTCTTTATAACTACAATCTCTACAGCAGGTTCTGGCACATTTGCAGACCTGTCTGTATTTCCAGTAACACCAATTAAGTAACTTCCAAGTATGACAGACAAGGATCAGGGGAGGGGGTAGAACCGGGCGACACGAGTAGTCGTAAATCAGAGTAAATCTTTGGAAGCACCAATACAAGTCCGAGTTTTCCTGGACTTTCTGAAATGTGTTGCTTTAATGGAAGAGAAAACATCAGGTAAGACAAGCAGAAATAATGACTGATGACGTAGATTTACAGACGGCAGCATTAAATTCAATTTAAATGATAGACATTATATTAGTGCCGGTTTCCTCTTATAATTATTTTGAGTAAGCTTTATGTCATTTATACTGTATCTAAAATTCGAAGAAATATGAAATAACGTCAATGAATTGACTTTAAACACCGAACGATTAGAGATTAAACAAAATGCCAAAACGAACAAAGCTGGGACTTTCACACTCAGGCATTAGCTTACCTGAACATTGCGATGAGAAGGTTAAGGAGTAAAATATTGGCAATCATCATATAAAAGCCCATCAATATCGGTACAACATATCCGCCGATCTGGGTTGGACAGCGGGGAAGGGTGTCGTTTTCGTACAACAAAGGGTCAAAACTGCACTCCGGCTCTTTAACTGAATTAAATAGGTTTGTAACATCTTTATTTTTTGTAAAAGATTCTGCTGTTGTAATATATTCCGTTCCTTTTCTAGTGCAATCAATCTTTCATCTATCAATAGAACTTTTTTTCAGAAATTTTAAGCAAGCTACTTACATTTAATAGAAAAAATACATAATACTGATTAGAAATTTAAGTCAATGTTTAACCGACGACATATTTATCATAATCAAATCAGATATATATTAAAATTGTAAAAATGGCAAATGGAACCTATTGATGATGACAGCGTGTAACTGAATTCCCTATGTCGGATGCATATTTCGAAAATCCGCAATTATAAACCTTCTTCAAAATCGTGAAAATTTTTTCGTCTATAGATATGTTTCAGAGTGGAATGATACGAATCAGTGATCGAAGATCAAATGATACCTACTTCACAAGTACTGATTAAATACCTTTGATGTGTGTTGCTGTTGCTCCAATTATTACATAGACATACACAAGATAAAAAATAATTTCAACAATCTTATTACAAAAGACACACAAGTAAATAGTGCCTTTTTATATGAATTTAGATTAGAGTTCAGTAGAGCTAATTAAGAGCCTAGACCTTTAAACCGAGGAGGCAACCGAGGAAATTTCAAAGTGAGCGGAAAACGTGTCAAATACTAGATCAGGTCCCATATTTGAGTGGATTTCGTAAATTTCATTTATATGATGATTTTAAGAGAATGAATGTGTGCAGAGTCTGGTGAAGCTGTAATAAAGTACTTTGTGTGTTTGCCTTACTTTCCATCTCGTCAAGAATGAGTTCCCCATAAAGGTTCCAGTAGGGGATACGGAGAAGGTTAAAGAGCAGATCGCCGTCAAACCTGGAGACTGGATACAGGATTGAATGGGCAGCAATTGAATACGACACTACAAACACCATGAGGATAGCCAGAAAATAGATCAGGTCCACAAACTGCAAATATAAAATAGCGACGCAATTTCAAAATCCTTACGTGTAATTGTCGAGTTGTGCAGTGTTAACACACTTATTTTCAGCTAAACAACATGGATTCGATATACCAATCAGACTTTGAAAAGTATTGTGTCATCTGTCCGATAGTTTGGGTTTTCTCAAGGGTAGTCCAGCTTCTGCCCATACAAATGCACCTACGCAATAGTAAAATATATAGAGTATATGCATTTAGGTATCTTGATTTCCATTTCATTTTACTATAATGATATAACGGACACAGCCGCTGAAACTAGCTGCAGCAGATGAAAAATTGTGATGAAAATAATGTTACTTTTTAAGAAGATTATGGTTTCTTTCACTTATGTTCGAGTCAATCATCTCATCATTTCAGACAGATATTATTTATAAGTTAATGTCGTAAATAACTTCAAATTACCATTTTTGTTATCATGACAAGTTTAGGACCGAGATCTTTGTGCACGGAGAACAACCCAAGCAGTCGAAGGAAGAACCCGATGAAGGAGAATGAGAAGAAGATCCGCCCGACTTCCAACGGCACACTTCCAGACCCTACCAGGCAAATGGCTCCAACGAGGAACAGCACAATCGGCAACAGGTCAAGAACATTCAATTTGTTGAGGAAGTAATTGCCTTTTGATGAGAAAAACTACAACGAGACGAATATGCACATGTAGAAATTATAATGTATACCGGCTCTTGTAAATGTACCTTGTGTACGGATGATTAATTATATTTGTTGTGTTTCATTCGGAATCAATATTTCAAGTTATTTAAATGGTTCCAGGAGAAAAAACTGACCAATTCAAGATTACAAAGGAGCGACACCCAACTTCAAAACCATTAAAATATAGTGTTATGCGACCTCGCGATTCGTTTGACGTACGTTCTGATGTACGGTGCAGAGACCGAAAGTGATAGTAATCCCTGCAATATCGAGGATGCATTTGTCGTTACTGTATTTAAACCTGCTACGTAAATATATTGCTAGTATGAAAGAAACGAATTTATTTTAATTATTTTGATAAACATTCATGTGATATACCAGAACACATTATTGATATAAAGTGATCAGTATATATTTATTTGTGATGACTAATGTCTGATTATATAAGTGATTATAACATACCAGCGCTTTTAGGCTGTACTTGATGTCTAATTAAATTCTTTGTTTTCTTAATTCAGTCTTAATTCAAACGCGGACATAACAAGAAAAAAGAAAGAGTTACTCTGCGAGATACACAGTGAAAAAGACCTTGTGTTCCTGATGGGTGAGCGTCTTCTACTTCATCTACTAGTTGTAATAACATCTGTTGAAATGAAATTGTTTGGTACCTGATTAGCTTCCTCGGCCAGCAGGCTAAACACCCAGACAAATAGTGTCATCTCCACTCCTGTCAAAGTATTGTCAAATTTTGACAGAAGCGCATAGCTGAACAACATCAAGAAGAACACATATGACACCTAAATGAAAATGAAAAGTAAAGATGGCTCATAAACAAAATAATGATGTTGCGCACATGTTTCTTTCTGTTGAAATATTTGGAGTAATTGAAAATGACCTATTTTACTCTTCTTCTGTTTTAGGGAATATTACCTCTATATCTCTATTACAGATTTATCGTGTAGCTGGTTATTTTCGAGGGTATAATATTTTCATTATCCCGGGGTGCACAAGCGTGATCGCGAAATTTTAATTAATGAAATAATGAGACAAGTGTGCGTCAGATGGCATTTTACAATCAGATCGCAAAAGTTAAATTCGTTCACGTGTAATCAATCGTTTTAAAAAAATCGCAAAAATTGATAAAAAAATACCAGCTATGCGATGACCTCTTAATATCTGTAGCGGTGTACCCATCAAAAACAGCGTATATGTATAGGCTTCAACGGAAAAAGATGTCAACAACGATACATTTCATTTGAAAACACTAATGAATATATATCTGATCAGGAAATACCATTGTATTTCTTATGTTTCGATATCAAAAACATAGAATATAAATATCTTATTTCTCTCGATAATATCAAAATGATAGAAGTTGTATCCCATGTTAATTATGTTAGTTTTAACTGAATTTTGTTCAAGTACAAGGCTTTAGAAATAGACGGCATTTTGATACTCACAAAATTTTGGACAAATTTCACAACTGGCGCTTGATAGAAATGCTGTATCTTCTTTAACTTTGAAACTTTCGGTAGCTCCTCTGTCAAGTCATTTGTTAGCTCCCTGAACAGGCACAATAGATCGTTACTAAAATTTAAGCTTGCCTGGTCAAAGCTCGATTATCATAACGGTAACTTAAACGAAATTTCAATCTGCCGATCAAATACCAAGTTCATATGTTTAACAATGTGCATCGAAAAACATTTCAGTTTGTAAAAGTTGCCGATTTATCAAATCGCAATTGACAGTTACCCTGCTTAACTGAATGGTCAAAGTCTTTTTCATGTACATATCTAATAGTTGTTCTCAACAAAGACATTTCCTTATCAACATACATAAATTTAATCTCTTATAAAAGCATATTTATGCCGCCCTTTGATGCAGCATAATTCATTGTATGCCTCTGTCGTAACTAACTCTTTATGTGTTTTAAAGGCTATTCATTTGTGCATCTTCCGTAAAGAAAAAAAATAAAACATCCATTTTAACCAACAGTTTATATACCAAAATACTGTAAATGAAATAGGTACATTACAATGAAATGAAACGATACAAAGTCCTTATTTCTCTTAATAGGTTACTATGGCGACTGGATTAACAAATTTGTCAATATATATCATACTCCTTTATTACGCTTATTAATACCATTTTAAGATATCTTTAAGTTATACGGCATTCCAACTGATCCTGTTCAAATACACAGGCAGTTCGCGAAATCGGAGGAATGAAAAGACGTCAGTTTTATTACTTACTTGACGGAGTTATCTCCTATCGCTGCGTTTTCACATTTAATTTGTTTTGACTGAAATAAGAGATGAACGTAACAAAATCAAACAAAACGAAATGGAGAAAGAATGAATGAATCAAGGGGATATCGCAGATAGATGTTGTAAATGAAAGATTTCACACGACAGGTTGCAATTTTAAAACGCAATGTTTGCTTTTTGTTGAAATCGGGAAAATAAAAAGTCAAAGACGCATATCTGGATTCTTATACTCTGAAGTTAAGTCAGGCGTGAAAATGTACGTTCATGCCATGAAAACTGCATCGCTTAAAGACAATAACGATGAGGTTCCCCATTGTAAACTCCCGAGAAGGTTTTAGCAAAGGTTCTTTTTAAAAATCTACACAAATAAGAGAGAGAGATTTCCCCTCAAACGACAACAGCTTCTCGTCGAAATAAGAAGATATTTTATAATGTCGTAACTTTCTTTTGGACATTGGCATTTTGTTTTCTTGTCTAATTATATTCATATCATATTCATGCAAGTTTAAGCTTCAATATTTCAATTCAAGCAACGTAAGATACAGGTAACAATAGCTTAAATACTTACCTGGATTTGTTCCCTTTGATCATCCACTTTAAATCTGATTTTTCGCCAAATGAGAGGTTGGAGAAGAGGAACGATGCACACCAAGGTCTGAAGAGTAAGCAATAATATATGCATAGTCAATAAATCAACATTTGGTTTCACATCATTAATTCCTGGTCATGGCGTGTTTATGGGAGCATTCCGAAAACTAAATGACTCAAAGCTAAATGTCTGAGTCATATCAAGACATAAGAGACAAACACTAGACTCCAGTCGTCTAAATCTGTGATATGGTAACACTTGTATTGATTAAAAGCGTATGGATGAAACAGGACGTAGCTGACATCCTACAGACAGAGAAAGTGAAATACCTACTGACGGAGTTAGCCAGGTGATATTCGCTGTTCAGAATAAGTAAGATACACAAAGACACAAACATACCACTAAAAGATGTACATTTACATTAATTTAACCACGGAATTACAATTTCATTAGTTCACTATTTAGAAGTTAGTGAATCTCTGCAGCTAAAATGTTCGATGATCGGCAGGCGCATCGAACCCTGGCTCGGGGTTCAGTTTTATTATATCAGAATATTCCGCTGGTTAATCATAACTCTACTGTATGATTCAGACTAAGAGCAAACTTCACGGATACTGTATTTAAACTCTTTCATTTAAAATGGTTTATCAAAAGTGTTGCCTTGACACACTATTCAAACAACGTTTTTTTTTTTTTTTTTTAAATTTAGGTGAATTACAAAATATTACCATTTGTTGTTAGTCACATTGCTTGTAAATTATCTATACTTTTTTGTAGATTTTAACGTAAAGGACAATGTGTTTGTACTTAGTTAATTAACTTAGTGTTTCGAATTCAAAAATGATTAGAAATTTTCGAACAGAAATGTTATTTATATTTGAATTATCAAAAGTTGCGTAAGAAACATGTACAGGTCATCAAAATATCAGACAATTTGAAATATCGTTTATCGATTATTTATAGATTTGAATTATAACAAATTAATCTAAACCATAAACCGCTCCAACACAATTTTGTGGAAGAAATCTCACTTGATCTAGAGATAGTAATCGTTTAAATGTGAAAGAAAACATCTGTTTCGTAGATAGAATCTGAACACACACTTCTACACGTTATCAGCTTTGTAAACTTCAATATATTAATCCAAAAGAAAATAAGGCCATATTTTTTATTCAAAATGATATCATAAAACGTTCAATAGAATCATTTCTTGTCTTTTGTCGCCATTTTGATACAAGTTGATTTTGAAATGTTTTTGAAAGTATTAAAAAGAAAATCACCAATCGGAAAGTTGAGATTAAGCTGATCAGAGTTTAAGGTAAGCTGTTCTAATTCCCACACTCACACTCGCCAGTATTACTGTAACCAATTTATCTACTCCGCGATTTCCAAAATGACTTGTCTTCTTTGTTTCCATTGATGCTAACTCTGACACTAAACGGATTTTACTATCCGACTCGCAGTCATTCCAACAAGAACTAACACGGATCCAATCCGAGCTACAGGCGCAACAGCGGAAAACGGACACATTAGAAACAGAGTTGCAGACCCTGAAGGATGAAAACACTAAACTTAAAAACAACATATATCTTTACGGAGACGGTAACTTTATATAACATTGTCTTTGAATATTTGTTTAATATTTTCATAACTTTGCAATCTTAACTTCAAGCCTTACTGAAACGACTTCATTTTTTAAAACCTGTAAGATAACTTGTGATTTTCTGTTTTATCATCGGGTGTTATGTTTGCAACAGTTTAATACGACTAGAAATTAGAATTGTGATTCTGTTTGTGAGTTTACTTGTTTTGTAAGTATCACTTTTGATCTTCTGTTAACGTTGCTCAGTCAAGACAAGAAAATAATGCGTAATGTTATTTCTCGTTACGATTTATCTTGTATACTTTCAGGTAATGGCGGAGCTGTCTTTACGCGCTGGGGACGAAGTGACTGTCCTGAAAATGTTACTCAATTAGTATATACAGGTGAGTAGTGACTAACATTGATTGATCTTATTGAATACAACCATGAAATTGCAATCCTAGATCCCTGACTTGTAACAAGGTAGGAAACATTTTGTCAGTTGAAGCTACAGGTCAACATTTCATTTTTTTAAATAAAGAATATTTCCAATTCTATAGATATGGAACTGTTTATGTATACATCTTGGCACTGAAGTCAAGAAACTAGCGATAAGATACAATACTAAAATATCTCAAAATGGAGTGATTAGACACTCAGACAAGTTACACAGCTATTTACTCAGACACTTTACACAGCTATTTACTCAGACAAGTTACACAGCTATTTACTCAGACACGTTACACAGCTATTTACTCAGACACGTTACACAGCTATTTACTCAGACACGTCACACAGCTATTTACTCAGTTACTCAGACAAATTACACAGCTATTTACTCCTACACATTACACAGCTATTTACTCAGACAAGTTACACAACTATTTACTCAGACAAGTTACACAGCTATTTACTCAGACACGTCACACAGCTATTTACTCAGTTACTCAGACACGTTACACTGCTATTTACTCAGACACGTTACACAGCTATTTACTCAGACACGTGACACAGCTATTTACTCAGACACATGACACAGCTATTTACTCAGACACGTTACACAGCTATTTACTCAGACACGTTACACAGCTATTTACTCAGACACGTGACACAGCTATTTACTCAGACACGTGACACAGCTATTTACTCAGACACATGACACAGCTATTTACTCAGACACGTTACACTGCTATTTACTCAGACACGTTACACAGTTAATTACTCAGACACGTGACACAGCTATTTACTCAGACACGTTACACAGCTTTTTACACGTTACACAGCTTTTTACTCAGACACGTTACACAGTTATTTACTCAGACACGTTACACAACTATATGTTCCCATGAACTTTAGATACTCCAGATGTCGCTATTCCTAAGACGTTTATTTTTCTTCATCTTCACACAAAAGTAAAAAAGATCGAAATTGATAGTCCATACAATACTTTCCTTCCAAAATGCAAACTCTATACATTAATTAAGTTTGAATCGTTAGGGTAAAAATACTTTTTACTACGTAAAAGACAAAATTTTCGTTATTACTGGTTTTCAATATTAAAAAAAACTTATTTACTAAATTACAAACTCTTGTACAGGATTTGCCGGTGGATCCAACTATCAACACCCTGGTGGGGCGGCGGAGTATGTGTGTATGCCAGATGACCCTATCTGGGGTCCAAACAAGAATTTAGCGAATCCTTCTGGTCACGTGGGCTACATGTACGGAGCAGAGTACGAGGAACCGATGGCTTTGTTCGGAGTGAAAAATACTGCACAAGATGTTCCTTGTGCTGTTTGCAGGACAAATCAACACACCACGACGCTCATGATTCCGGGTCGCAGTGAATGCTACAACGGTTGGACGGAAGCTTATAATGGAAACTTAGCTTCCGGTTATTTTGGACATGTCGCATCCTCCCAATTTGTGTGTGTCGATGGACAATCGCAGGTTTTAGAAGGCGAAACCAACCTGAACCAAAACGGGAAACTCTTCTACGGCGTGAAATCGGTGTGTGGCTCTCTTCATTGTCCACCATACGAGAACCTGAAGTTTTATCTTGTGTAGTTTGCCTTATGTAAATAATCTTATGTCGAAAATTACTTTTTTTTCTGAATGCTTACAAATTTCCGGAATCAAAAACTTCTAATGGTAAATATTATTAATATTAAAAATTGATCTCAGAATTTCGAATTCACGTCTTCACTATTAACAATAACACAAAATATTGTGTCGCTCGCATAAATAAATTTTCAAATTGCAAATTTTTGTGTCTTTTTTTTTCCTCCGCTCTAATCTTCGTAACATAATTTAGTAATATCTATTTTTTCCATCTGTACATCGATTCAAGTTTTCTCGAATATGTAAACAACAAATATTCTGCCATTTCATTAACTTGGTATATGCATCAAAAGATATTTTACTACAACATGTCTCTCCTAGATAATACAAAACGTACCTCGCTAAAAGGAACATCACAGTAAAATATTAATTCTGTTGTTGATTGTGTTTTGTTATTGATTGTGTGGGTTGATACACTTCAGTAACATTTCTCCAGCTAGACCACTTCATTGGATCGGAAAACCCCTCTCAAATTTAGCACTGATAATGTCACGCGACGGTTTTGAAAACGAGGCAGTCATTTTGTAAACAAGAACACATGATGGCGGGCAGAGATTAAAGTGAAAATAGTGACGCAGTCTGTAAAATCCCAGTTTTCCGTACTTGATCTTGATGTGGGTGTTGCAAATATCATTTGACAACCCTTAGTCAATTCAGAATTACGAAATGCAAAATGCAAGTAACTATTATTGTCATTTTTGTTTACAGGCGACGGTGTTTTATGCGCATGCGTTACCATATATAACGCAAAATTTTACATATCCAGATTGTTGATCAACATATAAAGATTTCTTTTCTATGATTATTAATTACCGTCATTTTGTGCACATTTAAGCGAAAACCAGCTGCCATTGTACATAACTGGATACACTTGACAAATATATAATCCAAAATGAAGCCAGTAAGAAAAAAAAATGTGAAAATGTTAAAAGCCTTACCCATGTTAATCCATTCAGGGGAGATAATTCACCCTTCCACATTGAGCTCAGAAGGGACTGGAATGTAGCATGGGCAACGAAGTGTTTATTATCTGTCTTCATGGCGATTTGCTCACACGTTGTGTGTCCCCATTCCTCCATTCGTTGTGTCAATAAATCTGTAGCTTTCTTTTCGTCCTTTTCTTGACATTCGTTTAAAATGTTCACAGCAAGTTGACAAAACTCACTGGAAAATTAATAGGAAATTGAAATTAAATTAAATTAATGTCTATAATAAACAATAAAATTTGTTACGAATTTTTCGAGATCAAACTCGTGACTGATTTGAACTTGATTTCAATTTTATCTTAATTATACTGGTCCTTTAAATTTTGCTCGAACCTCCTGGGAGCCAAAATAAGAATTAGCTTTATTTCTCGGGAGAAGATCACCGCACTGTTATTTCCCAAAAATAAGAGTCGGCCTCTACCGAAGCTGAATACATCACACTTAAAAGCTTTCTGTAATTAATTCCATTATGAATAGTAAAACGCAAGTTTGTCTTATTTGGTTTTACAGAGAAACAAATGTATAAAGGTTTGTTTGGTCTTATTTCTCTTTTATTTCTTCACTCACTCTGAGTTCTGTCTCAGTATCTTTTCGGACTCCTTGTCGCCGATGAGTGAAGACATTTGTTTTAACAGGCCGTGTGCAACCAACGCAGCGGCGATGTGGTCCTAATGTGTATATCAGAATAGATTTAAAATTTCAATGTCGAAGAGATAAAAATGAAAAATTGTAGTTCAAAGGGAAAGAAAAGCTACGAAAATTACCAAAATACATTTCAAAAGACGAAATACATGAAGTAAAGGGGTCAATTTGCTGCTTTGATCCACGTTCAGTAATGAAGATTATAACATTTTTTTCATTCTATTTTAAAATATCTGAAAACGACAAAAATAAATTTGAAAAAAGTTTATGAACTTTACGATTACAGTAACCTCCAGTAGCACTTAGTTAAAATATACAAACTATTGTTCAAGAATTGATAATATGTTGTGTTATTTGTTAGATAAATATAAGGATAATTTGGCAATCTTTGATCTCTGTTCTTCAATCAAACTTTTCCTGGATATTTCACATAACGAGCAAAATCAACAAACGAGATTAAATACCAAATCGACATATTATTTGGAAAACATATTTTTTCAGATAAAATGTATTACTGTGTCGAAATTCTCGTATCGCGGTAAACAGGTTAATAACTTTCTTAAGAATAATCTTATTAAGATGTCATAATCGGCTCGCGCCTTGTCAAATTTTGAAATGGAAGATATTTCCTTCGGCCAAAAGGAAATCTAAGAACGAAAAATTATCTACCGATAGTACGGCCACCAACCAAGTACATGAATGACGAGTAAGAAAGAAATAATTCAGGTAATCAATTCTATCAGCAACCAATATACTATTACGTAAACAAATAAACATTTTCATCGCAGGATTTTATTTTATTGAAATTTTCTATATTTTTCTTTCTTTCTTTTTTTCTTTCTTTTATTAATTTACTTTAAAAATGAACAATCTTTCGATTAATTCACTATTTTTGTTGTTGTTATCATCAAAGATTACCCTTTAGGAAACTTTCAGGTAATTATGTTAGTGTCATGGACTATGATACACAATGCTGAAAAACCTCTCAGACAGGTAAGGATAACTTTTTCATACCTTCTTCACTCCAATCACTATGTAAAATTAGGAATCGGTTAGCTTGTGGAGAAAAAATACTTCTCATGCAATCAAACACATACCTTCCCGTATTTCCAAAATAGTTTCGCCATTTCCTGTCTATTCGTCAGAACACACCACAGAAACAGATGGAGATTCGGATTTTCAAATTTGTGAATTTCCTCTAATGTTCCTTTCACCGAAACTAAATTTCGAACGGCAGATTTCATTGAGAGCAAACGCGGAGACGGTTTTTTTGTCGAAGAAACAACTTTAGTGTCTACTTCTATTTTGTTCTGGAAGAAATGACTTGGAGACACTGCCTTCTTGTCTAAACCGTTGCCATCCATAATTGTTTTTGATGCAAAATCATTTTCATTTTGCGAAACTTGGTTTTGAGATTTTCCCCATGCTTTGTGTTCGACGCCATTGCTACTTTCTTGTCTGGGAAACGTTGCGTCACTCTGCTGATTCAACGACTGTGAACTCCTTCTCTCTTCCGGTTTCTGATACACCGCGAGAACCTCGTAAAACTCTCCTAGCAGTATGTTTATCAGTTCTCCCACCTTCACCAAACAATCCTGTGTAAGCCAGTATAATAAACACGAAATGAATAAAATTCCAATGACTGGAAATCGGCAAAACTGACATGCGATCTTCGAATAAAATTCGTAACAGAAAACTTTGATTTGAATAATACATATAGTACATCACATATAGAGTAAGATTATTTTTGAAATTAACGAGAGATCGATTCATGTCGTGTGTCGCATTCTACAGTACAGTACCCTGCTTCCAATAAATATATTTTAAAATAAAGAAAGAAAGAATGAAAGACAGAAAGAGAGAGAAAGAAAGAAAGAAAGAGAAGTGAAGAAAGAAAAAAAGAAACAGAGAGTGAAAGAATTATGGACGAAATCATACGTAGGATTTAATCCTACTACAGTGTGACTTACATCCGCATTGATATCAAAGTTTTTCTGCGATTTTCTCAGAATTGTCCTCAGGATACTGTTGGCGGAAACCTGTTAAGGGAAAATGGTACATACAGTTCGGTAAGTTAACATCGCTTCTAATAACTGTTGGCATCTTATTTATAACATGATTAAAAGTATTCATGTAAAACAAAAACAATAAATATCTACCTAAGAACGTCATATTTTGAGTGATATTATCTCCTAGTTCTAAGAAGACGTTGTCTTAATTGTGTTTAAGTTTAAACATGTATAGCCAAAACAGGCTTCAATGATTTTACTCATAATGAAACCTTTACAGTGCCAATTTCCTTCTCCATTTGTAGGAAATCAAAATATATCCACTTCATTATTCTTTCAATAGTTAATTGATCTAGACAACCCCGAATTTTTCACTCGTTTTTTACCTGATCTAACAAATAATCAATAATATTCAATATTAAGTGTTAAGGAGGTCCATCTAATGTATTTATTTAATGTTTTCACATATCTTCTATTCCGGTAGAAGTCGGTAGATGTTTTTGTTTATACCTGATGATAAAGTTGCTTCAGACGTCTGGCGGTCAAGAATGCGTTGATGTCCACCCCGTTGTCCAGGAAGAGGTCCATGAAGTCCACTCTATCGAGTCCGAGAGCGGACATTATCATGTCATTGTCCGCGAGGGCTGTCTCCAGACTCTGTCGCTATTGAAGTAAACACAAAACATTTTTAAAATGAACTTGATAACGTGAAGCAAATTCAAACACTTAAAGCAAGAATGTCAAATAACGGAACGATGAACACAGACGAGGAGGTCAATCTTCTGTTTCTTTTAAGGTCAAATTTGAATATTCCACTTATTCTCACTAAGAAAACTAGAGCCAGCGCAAATTATATCTAAGGGATAACGTACGCTCATGTCGCGCATAATCTCACTATTGGCGATGTCGATTCTGTTCCAACACAGTGCAAGCTTCAGCTGACTCAGCGAGTTGTCTCTTTTGACTGAAACACATCCATAAAATGCAAATTACCTCCCTTATAACAATATTTTTACTAGCTCATCAAGTTTTGCTATATCGAGGTTTCCTCTTTCGTGAGAGCCTTACAAATGACGTTATCTCTGAGATAATAAAATGATCGGTGAACGACAGCTTGAACATTTCACCTTATATATGTCGATGTCTTACCTTTCATGAGAGCCTTAAGTATGGCTATGTCGATGTTGTCTTACCTTTCACGAGAGCCTTAAGTATGGCTATGTCGATGTTGTCTTACCTTTCACGAGAGCCTTTAGTATGACTATGTTGATGTTGCCTTAATTTTCACGAGAGCCTTTAGTATGGCTATGTCGATGTTGTCTTTCCTTTCATGAGGGCACTTAGTATGGCTATGTCGATGTTGTCTTTCCTTTCATGAGAGCACTTAGTATGGCTGTGTCGATGTTGTCTTACCTTTCATGAGAGCCTTTAGTATGGCTATGTCGATGTTGCCTTAATTTTCAAGATAGCATTTAGTATGGCTATGTCGATGTCTTACCTTTGATGAGAGCCTTCAATATTGCTATATCGATGTCTTACCTTTCATGAGAGCCTTCAGTATTGCTATGTCGATGCCCTGAGACATTTCAGATGTGATAGCGGTTATATCGAACACTGTGATCAAATTTCTGTCTTTCACACACATCTCGACATTTTTACAGACGTCTTTGATGACAACGTTGATCCAGGCCTCCTCTTCAACCATCGCCCGGATCTTCGACTTCAGAGGACCGTCAAACACCGATACTGGCCTACAACAGGGACACCCAGAACGTATTCGTCAAGAGAAACCCAAGATTTCATGATTTTTGTAACGATAGCAATATTTGTGTTCACTTCCGGCGTAAATGAAAAGTTCTATATTCTATCATTTATGAAACCGGGCTGTGAATTTCAAAATTGCACTTAAAAATAGTTTCCAGGCCTTTACATCCTCTAAATAGTCGATGCTGTGATCAATCATATTTACCGGACATATAATTTTCTAAACAACAACTTTTTGATAAACGCTATTAAATACATATTTACATATTATTTGGAATCGGATCTCCAGCATCTAATTTAATGTTTTTCCACTTTCTGCATTATTTTAATCAACTTCCAGTGAGTAATCAGCTGTCTCCCTCCCCGTTCCACTGTACCATCATACTATACTGCGATACATATTCTAGAAGATTATAATTTGCGTGAAACAACTATGGTTCATTATTGTAACTATAGAAACGGACGAACTTAATTATTGACTGTCTTACCTGCCGCGCGCAGACTCCTTTCCGTGTTCGATTATCTCCCTTGCCTGTTCATAAGCATATGCTATTATGTCTGCAGCTTTTCCAGAACCCTGAAACCAAGACATCATCCAAAGTTTTCATGTCAGAAACAGAGATACGAAAAACCTATAAAAAATTGATACAGTCAGAAGGTTCGCGACAGGTGAATGAAATGGTAAAACTTGGGACATTTATTGACGAATATTAAAAGAAAGTTCATAATCAATCTCATGAATCAAGAAAATTAATGCTTGAAACATTGTTTTCACCAAACATTTTTCATTACACCCTTTTTTCTTTATAACGAAGAGAGAAAAGTTTATTTGTAAGTGACATTTATATGTGTCGATTGTTTTGTATTTGTTACCTTGACAACGACAGTGGGTGTGTTCTTACAGACGGCATTCAGTACTGTTTCTATGGTATTTGGTCCCCCTTCCACTACCAACAGTACAACAGGGACGGATACAGCATCTAACGACATAAAAAAGCACAAACGAATTATTAAGAGACGCGAATATTTTGAAGTTGTCTCCCTTCTGTCTGCGAATCTCTTATGATTGATTCTATGGATATATTGTTTTGCTTGACATGTTTGATAAATTCATAAATATATATCATCGAGTCATACAACGAGGAAGTCATTCTAATGATGATACACAGGATGACCTATACATACATCCCAACCTCGTCTCCAGGGACAGTGCATTGTCGTAAGGAGCGCGCTTAACCTGGGATCGAAGAAGTGTTCATATATATGTATATTATAAGACTCGTTTTTCGTTGTTTTTTTCTCACCCTTTTTAAAAATAATTATTTCGCCGTTCCAATATCGTCATTGTTTCGGTTTCACCCTGTAATCGTTGAAGAACATGTGTGATGAAAGGGAGAATAACTGAGGACATTTACAATCTAGACAATTATTTTACTAAAATATTTTGTCAAGCATTATTCAAAATGTATTTCTGTCTTAGGAAAAACATTTTGGTCGTGTAGTTTGGCATACCTTTCCCTGTATCTGTTTTCAAGTTGGCAACAGCATTTTCTATTTCGGCACGAAAAGTAATCTCCTTCCCAAACGTATGCTCGGTACCGTCGTCCACTAATATAAAATGAGTATGGTTCGGATTCAGGAACGTTTCGTTTCTGTTTGCAACACGTTCAAGTTTGTAACTTTTTGGCGGATCGTTAAAATCAGCAACACCAGGTGACGCTTTATTTGTGTTTTCAATTTCATTTTTACTTCCAAGACCGTTTCTGAGGTGTTCACGATTTTGGACAACTCCCCACGTTGCTATCCCTATGGCAACGATTGACTGACCGCAGTTTGCAGTCAAATTGAAATCCCGCACCGCTTCACCAACTTCCTTCATGATACCGGTGTTGCTTCCGCCACTGATTATCCATGGATCTCAAAGACAAAATAGTGCAAAAAATTATCATTGGCAAATTCAGCTTGTAAACCATTCAAGGATGTGAGTGTAAGCTGGAAAGACATCAACATTAAAATAACAAAACGGAAATACCATGTGTAATGTTAAGATAATAATAATCCAAACCCGGGAAAGTAAGACATGAACAAATGAAAACATCTACATGGAGACCCTTGCGAAATTTCATTAAAAATAAGACCAGGTATCCCAGAAAGGTAAGCGTCCTCTGTGTCATCGATAGCACTCGCGATGTAAATCTTGGTCAACCAAACTAAGAAAGCAATGCCTCTTCCAACATGATTAAAAATGATTAACGACATCTTTACCACCAGACATAACATCGCGTTTCGCAATTAAATGGAATATTTCCTATTGAGTTAAGAGTGATGGCCAAAACAAACACTTTGAGTGATAAGTTTGCCTGACAGTTGTCGATGTCGTCAACGGTGTTCATTGCATTGGGATAGAGCCCTCGAACATCCTTGAATTGTGATATGCAAATTCAATGGGTTAGGGAAGCAGTTATATTCCTATCTATACATGGAAAGTTCACAAATAGGGTCACGCTTATCGTACAGCCTTGAAAAATATATCCAAAATATGATTATTTCAAATCTTATCAAACATTTATATCTGAAATATCAATGTTCATAAGTCTCCAAATTGATTATTTATTGACATACTTACTCTGATATGCAGTACCAAAGAATCAAGATGCACTATCAATATTAATACATATTTGAAATAACACATAACCTCGTCAATATACCTGTGGTCCTAGCTAGTTTGATGAGACCCCTCCTGAACGCGGTTCTCTGTTGAGTCTTCACTTGAAAGCTTTTCGCTCCCCCTGTCACGGAAATGAGAAGATTAGGAGTTTTAAGGTCCCATTCAGTCATCAAAGACTTGAGGACCTCATCAAGGGACCCAGGCCCTTCCTTGTTACCGTCATCATTCACACGGATATACTGCAAAATCAAAATCAATCAAACGAATTCATAAAATTATATATAACAAGGTACGAATTTACCTTCAATTTAATAGGTCTATTCGGTTACATCTTAAGTAGTTGTCATTTATTTGTTCAGTGTAGGACGAAATGACAATCGAACTGTACAGACAGTATTAAGACAATTCGGCAATAATTTTTAAAAAAACCGCTGTTTGTGGATGCCTAGCCAACAAAATTTTTGGAAACAATGTAAGTTGTGAAATGTAAGAAAACATGATGATTTTTAACACTCTCGCTTAAAACTGATATTAAAAATATTGATAATATCTTGAATTAATCGGTAAACAGAATGTGAATGAAGTTATTTTTCTTTATTCATTTCTGTCTCATTTTTTGAAAGCCTAATTATACAGCTGATGTAATAGAACAAGTGCTGTTGAATAAGAGACATATAGTGTGCTTACATTCCTTAGCCCTAATTCTTCATCACAACCTTCGAACTTTATTCGTCCACGATCATTCGTCAGAATTCGTTTCACTTTTCCTTCATTTATACGAGACGTTGATTGACTGACCTCGTTTTGAAATCTGTCTGTCATCTTCTTATCCTGAAATTAGGGGAAAATATCCTGATGTGTAATGATACATAGGAAATATACAAAGTTTCAAACAATTATGGAAAACTTCAGATGTGTCTGAAAGAAATTCAAATGGTCATAAATATTTTTTAAAAATGTGGCAAGGAATTGAATCATGACGCAACCACATTCACCATTGATGTCTACCAAAGATATCATGGACAAACCAGGGTATTTTAGAGACAGTTCCGTGCATCACGTCAATAAACGTAATTCAACCAACAAATACTGTAAATCGATATTTTTTTGCACGTTCCTATTTTCACGAATTTAATGATATTTTCCTAATCGTAAAAAAAATAAAACAAAATTGCAAAATGTGCATGTGTTCTTCTTTTATTTTAAGCATTGTATCTATAGATTTGATAACATGCACCTGAACACTGTCTAGTTGCTAATGCTTTTGATTTTAACATATTTTATTGTGTATAAGTAGCAATATGATTGGACAAAATCGTTATACACACACGTTATATTTACAAAGTGGCAGCATGATATAATAACAAACAATTATAAACAAGTTTGGAGGAGGGAGAGAGAGATAGGTGGTGGGGGTGGTGGTGGGGGTGTATAACACGTACTATGTATGCGGAGAATACTTCGTATATATGTAGACCATACATCTGCTTCTTCTCCATACAAGCGAAACAGGTGTCAACATGCCTAAACTCACAACTTGTCAATGGCCATGCTTCTATGATAATTAAATCTTTGTCAGTGCAAGTAAGTAATGTCACTTTCTCAAATGAGAACAAGGTACGGAACAAACAGACAAACTAACGAGCATCAAATACGTTCAGTTTCATGTCACATAAAGATTTTTTTTTTCAATGAGATCACCATGGCGATCATAAATTTTCCCCGTGATTTCCATCAACCTGCATCTTTTGAGCCCGTGTGTTTCGAGTTTGTCGATCAGTTGACGGCTTCTTGCTCGTAAATCGTGATAATGGGAACAGGCCCTTGAATATCGAATCAACTGTGACAGGCAGTGTATATGCAATTCCGGCTAGTGACGTCATTAGCATAAGAGCAGTTTGAGTATTTGGTTTCCTCGTTAAGCTCTAAAGCTTTTGTATGTAAAAGGGCTTGTATCAAGTTCGTCACCAGACATTTACGTCAGGCAATTCTTAAAATAGACATCTGTTGTTTGTTATGTCATAGTTACATAATTATGTTTATCTAGTCTACTCTATAAATAAACAAACGATAGTGAGATGATTTAATTTTACCATAATATTGGCTGGTTAATTCTTTCTCTATGTAACATAGCCTGAATATATATATAAACATGTAAATTACATTATTCGCTCCGCGGATTCAATTTGTAAACCAGACTAGTGACCTTTAGTTTCATTTGTATACTTGCACGTATGAGTCGTTCTGTTATATAAATTTCAACTTTAGAATCGGTAAATACATGTATATCGAGATCCGTTTGAAAAGCATGTTTGATGTTGGTGTCTCAAATCAAGGAATGTTATATTTGCTTCTACGTCAAATATTACAGCCACGCCCCAAATTACAGTAAATATATTTGTCCGCTGTGATCAATACGGATCTGCTTGGGACACGATATAATCCGGGCCCTTCAGAACTAATAACTTGCTATCTAAACTACTGTTAAGGAATTTAAAATTATATTTGGGTTGTTCTCGACAGAGGCGATATGGATTTTTCCCGACTATTCAACTGCGTGTATGCTTCGTCTTTACCCATCAAAAATTAATTTCTATTTATACAGAAATTCAATTTACATTCATATTTAAAAAAAAGATGAGAGCTCACACATATTGTAAATACTATAACCTAAAAACCTCTGACGTGTAGTTCATGAAAGCATTGTAACCAAGCGGTTTTTGTTTTCTTAACTAGTGGTCAAGTGTGAGCGCTGACCATTTACAATCAGCAGATTACAATGAAACCTATGTTAGCGAAGACAGGTAACAGGCTACTAGTACTACGGTGTTTTGATAGCGGCGACATCAAAATGCGGTCTAGTGGCGGTATTGTTTGCTGCAAACGAAACATTTTCCATTTTCAAGTATTCAATTTGATTATTTATATTTTTTTTAAAGTAGTCACGAGAAAAAACAATAATTTAATAAACGATCAAGCTCTCCAATTTTCGGTTGGGTGTGCCATCACGATGAAAAACAAAAAGAATGTTTTTAATGTTTGTAGACAGAGTTTCGCTGTAATGTCGAAACTGTTGGATGATTGATGGAGGTAAAAGGAAGAAAAAAACATCACCTGTCTATAACTCTACTGCGGACGGACGAACAAAGCGATAACTGAAGTTATAAATACCTGTCTACAGAGGCCATTTAAGTGTCAGGTTAATCCTGGTTTCTTTAGTTTCTTTAGAGTTTGAATTTCTAGAAATTATATTACACTTTGAACCGCAACAATCTGCCGTATTAAAAGTTGTTGATTTGTCAAGGATCCGTAATGGGACCCACTCTGTTTGCTCAAAATCAAGAGATCTGTCTTTTCTGTTGATTACGGCTAAATGAGCAAAGGCCGAGTGCCAAAGAAACATATTTCATTCGGTCGTAAATTTCGTGGTTATCCAACAACACATTTTCGTTGATACTTGATTTCGTGTGATAAATCTCGATCACGAGATCCACTAGTAATGCAATAAATATCACCTTACATCTGTTTATCATATCATGAACATGATTTCCACGAAAAAAGCCTTGGAGTGATTGCAGAAAACGCCAAATTAGGCTTACAATTTTAAGAACAACTAAAACTATGTGTATGCATTTTATATAACAGTCAATGCTACCTTACAGGTAACCTGTCTATAACAGTCAATTCTACCTTACAGATCACCTGTCTATAACAGCCAATCCTACCTTACAGATCACCTGTCTATAACAGTCAATCCTACCTTACAGATTGCCTGTCTATAACAGCCAATCCTACCTTACATATCACTTGTCTATAACAGTCAATGCTACCTTACAGATCACCTGTCTATAACAGTCAATCCTACCTTACAGATTACCTGTCTATAACAGTCAATCCTACCTTACAGATCACCTGTCTATAACAGTCAATCCTACCTTACAGATCACCTGTCTATAACAGTCAATCCTACCTTACAGATCACCTGTCTATAACAGTCAATCCTACCTTACAGATCACCTGTCTATAACAGTCAACCTGTCTATAACAGTCAATCCTACCTTACAGATCACCTGTCTATAACAGTCAATCCTACCTTACAGATCACCTGTCTATAACAGTCAATCCTACCTTACACCTGTCTATAACATCAATCCACCTGTCTATAACAGTCAATCCTACCTTACAGATCACCTGTCTATAACAGTCAATCCTACCTTACAGATCACCTGTCTATAACAGTCAATCCTACCTTACAGATCACCCGTCTATAACAGTCAATCCTACCTTACAGATCACCTGTCTATAACAGTCAATCCTACCTTACAGATTACCTGTCTATAACAGTCAATCCTACCTTACAAATCACCTGTCTATAACAGTCAATCCTACCTTAGAGATCACCTGTCTATAACAGTCAATCCTACCTTACAGATCACCCGTCTATAACAGTTAATCCTACCTTACAGATCGCCTGTCTATAACAGTCAATCCTACCTTACAGATCACCTGTCTATAACAGTCAATCCTACCTTACAGATCACCTGTCTATAACAGTCAATCCTACCTTACAGATCACCTGTCTATAACAGTCAATCCTACCTTACAGATCTCCTGTCTATAACAACAGTCAATCCTACCTTACAGATCACCTGTCTATAACAGTCAATCCTACCTTACAGATTACCTGTCTATAACAGTCAATCCTACCTTACAGATTTCCTGTCTATAACAGCCAATCCTACCTTACATATCACTTCTCTATAACAGTCAATGCTACCTTACAGATCACCTGTCTATAACAGTCAATCCTACCTTACAGATATAACAGCCAATCCTATCTATATCTATAACAGTCAATCCTACCTTACAGATTACCTGTCTATAACAGTCAATCCTACCTTACAGATCACCTGTCTATAACAGTCAATCCTACCTTACAGATTTCCTGTCTATAACAGCCAATCCTACCTTACAGATCACCTGTCTATAACTGTCAATCCTACCTTACAGATTACCTGTCTATAACAGTCAATTCTACCTTACAGATCACCTGTCTATAACAGTCAATCCTACCCTACCTTACACAGATCTATATACCAATCCTACCTTACAGATCACCTGTCTATAACAGTCAATCCTACCTTACAGATTACCTGTCTATAACTACCTTACAGAACCTGTCTATAACTACCTTACATCAATCTACTATAACTGTCAATCCTATAACACCTGTCAATCCTACCTTACAGATTACCTGTCTATATAACAGTCAATCCTACCTTACAGATCACCCGTCTATAACAGTCAATCCTACCTTACAGATCACCTGTCTATAACAGTCAATTCTATCTTACAGATTACCTGTCTATAACAGTCAATCCTACCTTACAGATCACCTGTCTATTACAGCCAATCTTACCTATAACAGTCAATCCTACCTTACAGATCACCTGTCTATAACAGTCAATCCTACCTTACAGATCACATGTCTATAACAACAGTCAATCCTACCTTACAGATCACCTCTCTATAACAGCCAATCCTACCTTACATATCACTTGTCTATAACAGTCAATGCTACCTTACAGATCACCTGTCTATAACAGTCAATCCTACCTTACAGATTACCTGTCTAACAGATTACCTGTCTATAACAGTCAATCCTACCTTACAGATCACCTGTCTATTACAGCCAATCTTACCTTACAGATTTCCTTTCTATAACAGCCAATCCTACCTTACAGATCACCTGTCTATAACAGTCAATCCTACCTTACAGATCACCTGTCTATAACAGTCAATCCTACCTTACAGATCACCTG